GCGTCTGTATATAGTGAATAAAAGCAGAAACAGTATTGTGGGAGGAGAATGTGGGTGAGTCAGGTGACTTGAGGGAGGGAGGGAGGAAGTAGCAGCCAGTGGCGGGCTGTCACTGGCACTGCCACTCAGCATGCCAACTTAGTGGTTCGTTATGGCGAACACAAATGTAGATACTTATATATAACGTCTGTATAGAGTGAATAAAAGCAAAAACAGTATGGTGGGAGGAGAATGTGGGCGACTGAGGTGTTGAGCGAGTGAGTGGTTGGCTGGTGTGTGGCTGTCACTCCTTGTTACTTTTTGACTTATAATAGCAACTTAGTGGTTTGTTATGGTTAACAAAACATGCAGATACTTGTGAAGCATTTATCATCTCACTCTTCTGAGTGAGTATGGGTGGAGACCTTTAATGTGTTATGCCTCTCTGAGGGTAACCATGCATTGATTGATGTCATAATTCAGATTAGGATTATGTCATCAGCATTATTCAGCTATTGTTTTAGTGATGTTATTGTTATTTTGATACTGCAAGCATCGGAATCCAGTAATTGCAAGAGTGTTCACCAGTGATCAGATTAGTTCACTTTGTGCGACTCACGCAAGAGAGTCGAGACTCGTCATGCTAGCATGGTGGGAAACGATTTCTGCCGTGTATGATTTTCATAGCTAATTAATGTGACACTTTTAATTAAGGTAAAGGATTCCCATGTGTTGTACTAGCTGTTTAGTTGTAACTAAACTTGTTAAAGTTACACAATATTTCTGTTAAATCTGACTCTTGATATTGTACTATAGACTGCTACCTAATTTACAGGAATCCATGCTAGCACTCATCAACTTTCAAACAAATTGATGTGGACCTTTACCATTCAGTGCATCTCATGTGCATAGTGAATGGCACGACCAAAGTGACTCACAACCCTATAGGTCCTTTGTCATGAGTAGGCCACTCACTGAGGAATCATAATTCAATAGAGAATACTTGGGAAAGTGAGGCCTGCTGCTCTTGGCATTTCTTGAATACCTGATAGTTCTAGATCATGCAAGGGAGTCTGCCTAATGCACCTAAGGCGACTGCTGCAAGCAAAACAGTCGGGAAAACAAGGAAAATCTCAGTCAGATGTAGCACAAACAAGGAGCAATGGTTTCAAGCTCAGCAAGCTACAAAGCAGGACTGAAAACAGGAGATGCTTTTTCACCCAAAGGGTTATTAACCCATGGAACCACCTACCCACTGAAGCCATAAATACTGAAACTTAAATTTTACAATCCAGCTGGAAAAAATCCTCAAGACAAATGGGGGGACCTTTGACAAGTCGCCAGCTTTCTGTCCTCATCGAGGCCACTAGAATGTTAGTAGCCCACTAACACTAGAATGTTAGTGTTGGTAAATTCAGGTAATAAACCAAATTGTGTCACTGACTAACATAAACATGCATTTGGTTGATAAATGTGACATAATGGTTACCAGTTAAGTGTGTATGTAAAACTATCAAGTGAACTAACAAGTTGTTTTTCCACCTTGTTGAGGTAACCATGTTAAACAGTTACAATATGTATGTAGTGAAATCAAGCAATAGACCAACAATGTGTGTTTAGTCTTGCCTTTTCGACACAATTATGCATACTGACAAAGTTTAGCAAGGACGTTTATGTCATTGCCAGAGGCATTCTCAGCTCAAGAATTTTGAACTGCTGCAGACAGACAGGCTTTCAAAGAGTTACACAAAGTAAAATATATACCAGCTACTGGAAAGCATGCAAGCTAATATGAGTGCTTTGTGTGTAAGAACACACAAAGGAGGCCAAAGGCATGGAATGTGGTTGCAACATGGTGCAAAGAGTGTGATATTACCCTGTTTATGCTCGAATATGGAGTATAAACAAGTATATATATAGAGTGAAATTTACTGTGAAATAAAACATTTGGGTGTACATATTTGTGATATGCATACATTTGTGTGTATTGATGTTCTGCAAGTTTTATTATAATGGAACATCAAGTGACATACTAGTAAACAAAATAAAAATCAGTGAAAAAATAGTAACCGAGTAGGTCAGACACAATGTAAATAATTGAGCATCAATATATTTATGGCAACTCCTGTTGATTGAATAGCCCCCGTGGCACTGCCGGGATGCTCACTGTAGGAGTGAGCATGGCACAGCAGTGTTATCAGGTATAAACAGGGGTGTAAGGCAGGGGGTTAAAAATAAAGTTTATTTTAACACATTGAATTGTTACAAATTTTGCTGTCACTCACCTCTCAGAATCTGCTGTCTCACCAGCATCAGGTCTTTCAAGGTCATCCTCCTCAGTGAAGGCATGACTGTCAGCACCATCTGAGAACTCATGCCCACCACTACCTAGTCTGTCTGAGCCACGCCCACTTGCTGACCCTGTCCCACTCCCACTGCTTGGAGGTTGTCGGTACCGACCGTATACGAAACCCATTCCCCCATTGTCTGCTCTACCTCTGGAATGTTAATTGCCACAGTAAGTTAAATGAATACCTTGATATACAATTAACTAATTATTTTGTAAGTGATTTAATTTAAAAAAGTATAGTGACATTTAACTATATAAATTTAACAAAAATTACAGTTCTTTGATAAAGAGAGTACAAAATATTTATAAAAGAGTAAATGATATATAATAAAGTCTATACAGTTTAAAGCTAAAGTAAATATTTACATTATCATACAGATTAACATAAATAGTTACCAACAATAGTTGGTTAATGTAAAGATCAAACGGGAATCCACTGAGGGAGATTATGTAAAACAAACAACATGATGTTAATACATATATAACTTGCTGAAAAACACAGAAGTAATAGTAGTTTTAAAATGCAAAACCATTAAAATCATAGCTAGGTCTGAGCATCAAGTACCATGCATATCAAAGCTGCCAGGTGAAGAAAAGCATATAATCCAAGGATAAGCACCATTACTGACCTTTTTGTGATGCATTTTCACATTATAGTACTGACTTGAGACAAACTTTGAAACACCATTAAATAAAAATATTAAATATAAATGATACATCAGGAAGAATTATGTTCCCTTGTTACAAAACCAGTGTTGAATGTAACGAAATGCCAGTTTCTGGGTGAGCCCCGGGGGGCTTCCTAAAGCTATCCAGAACCGATACATATTAGTTGGGGTCAATAGTCACGAGTTTTTATGCCTACTGAGGACCTCGAGCCAGAACCTAGCCCCCCCTCGTAGAGGCGCAGGAAGCCTGTGAACACTTTACACTTAAAGTAATGTGTGTCATACTTGCCATCGACCAGGGAAGGCACCCAGAAAGGTAGGTGAAATAAAACAGCCCACAGTCTGGTTAAAAATGCGACCTACGTCCTCAAAGGAGCAAAAGAACTCCCCCCAGAAAGAAAAGAAACAAGTAACTCTTCATCTAAGTGGCTGCCACCCCCCCCCCCCTTGGGGAAGGGGGAAGTCAGCCCGGGCTCTTCAGTTCTTGAATGATGAAAGCAACTGACCGGAGGGAGAGGGTCAGGGAGCCTTCGGGGTTCACCCAGAAACTAGCGTTTCAATACATTTAATGCTGGTTTTCTGTGGGGAGTCTCGTCAGCTCCCTGAAGTTAACTACCCACAGAGAAGGAAAACTGGGACTTACCAGGAAGGCAGCAGCACCACAGGTCTCAATGTGAGCAAGAGACTGATGGCAGCAACGGGCACCACAAAGCAACACAAGACCACAGAGGGCTCAGAATGCTTACAAGAGACCTGGCAGCCAAGACAATGTCTGACCTCCAAAACCCCCCGCACCCGAATATCGTCCCAAGACAAAGACAGCTAAAAGAGCGGCATATTTCCTACCATTATGGGCATGAGGGTAGATCACAGGCTAACTAGATTTAATGACACTGCAGACAACCTGAGACACACAAGTTCTGGAACAGAGAACCAGGGAAACCAGATCAACCCAGAGTGCGACCACCAACACAGAACAGGTGGCAAACAGGTAACGGTGCAAAGCAGTTACTGCACACAAAACGTGATACACCCCCGGTCGAACCAACCAAGCTTCCACAACCAACAGATCCTCTGGAAGCCTGCCACCTCATTCTTCACCAGAAAGGAAGGAGCTGATTGCAAACGAACAAAACAACCACCAGGACCAAACAACCAAAACCCCTGGCGACAGAAGAATATGAAGCTCCCCAACCCGACCCTCAGAGGCCAACACCAACAAAAACAAAGCTTTCCAAAAGCAATCATGAACCAAAGGGAAGCCACTATAAACTGAGGAGAAGAAAGGAAAAAATCGGTCCAAAGACTAAGAAGGCTGAGATGGCGCATCAGCAAGCTGGAGGTGCAAAAATGCACCAGAAAGCTTGCAGAACAGAGCGGAAGAGACATCCACCCCGAACGCAAGCTGCAGTGGTTCTACCAACTTCCCACAACAAGAAGCAACAGTATTTGGCATGAGATGCCTATCCAGGAAAAGCCAAGAGAGAAAGGATAAAACACCCCAGTCCGACAGAGAAGAAACCCAATGAAGAGAAAGAAAATGACCAAGAAACTTTGTACTGTCACTGAGAATTAGACTACAGGTAGAACACCATCAAAGAAGCCACCTGATCACCATACAAATGGCGATACACACGCATCAGAAACACCAGTCGTATGTTGTGTAGGAGTAAGTTGACCTAGAGAGGCACTTCACCAGCCCAACCTGCTGAAAGAGATGGAGCCACAGAAAAATGCTTAGATTTGGACACCAAGCAAGCAAGCAGTGCCTGAAGCCAAGGCTGGGCCAGCCACCATGGAGCCAGTAGAACAACTCTCCCTCGATAGGATTCTAGCCGAACCAGAATCTAGATCAACGGCTAGACCAGGGGAAAGAGGTACAATAGGAGATGCAGAAACCACGCCGATGGGAAGAGGTCCACCTCCAGGTGCCTGCACGTCCGACAAAGCCAAAGGAACGAAGTGGCACCAACCATCCACTCTGTGGAAAGAGGAATGAAGTAAGACAGGCCTTCTGCCAGGACGTTTGACACTCCCCGAATGTTAACTGCACGGAGAGTTAAACCTCGAGAACTCAGCAGAAGACCTTCTTCTTCTCAATATGTGCAGTTTGCATGAAGGTGTATCCTCTCGATGACTGCATGAGTGGTAATGTAGAAAGATGCTTATGCTACAATGCACAGCAGCACATCAACGATCACAATGTGACAGAGGCAGGAAGATAACGACGCCATCCATGTGGGTGAGGATAAAGGTAAAAGAAACAAACAAGAGGAAAGGGATGTAGGATGGGAAAAATGAGGAGAACAGAAGGCGAATGTGAAGCATTGCCGTAATAAACAAAGCAAGGGATGTAGGCAAAAGATAGAGGGCAAGAGGCAAAGGATGTGTAGGAAACAGGTGCGAAGCAGACATGAAAAATTAAGGGAGGTGTGAGCAGAGGAAGGTACAAGGAGTAAATGTGTAAGTCAGAGGAAAAGTCAGGACAGGACAGGACAGGTGAGGTTAGGACAGGGCAAGGTATGTAGACAGAATCTGGAGCCTTATGGCTGGGATGCATCGGTTTTCTTAGAAGCGCCAGCAAGACAATGGGAGGAAGACCTAAGAGAGGTGCGAGGACAAGTCGTGGGAGAGTGGGGTTTATGGGGCCTATCAGGCAAGGTGGCAGGGCGCTTGGAAGTCGAGATGATGGAGAATTGCTTTCTCTTAGTACCGGGGGTAGAAATGTATGGCAAGGCAGCCTGGGGAAGAGACACGGGGAAGGCACGCCAATGATTTCTGAAGGGCATTGTCCAGCATCATTTCAAATGCACTGGAGATAGCAGAGGCAACTGTGGTAGATTGGACATCAATCATAAGAGAAGCAGAGGAGGGATGCATTGGGTCAGCCTCAGGAATGGGGAGGACGGACTGTGGAAAAAGTTAGTAAAGAGTCGGACCAGCGCCTTCTCGAGGTTATCCACAACGCGAGTGACAATAATGTCAACAAAATTGGGACTCAGTTGTATGGCGTGCGGGAGAGAAGAGGTCTCATGGGTGAGAGAAATGTCACTGACAGCCAGGTCAGGCACAGGCAAAGTAACGTGCCAAGTAAAAACGGGTCCTGAAAACCCTCAAAGGGATCGAGAATGTCAATGGGAGAGACGCTGCGAGCACCACCATCTGTTGCCATGATCGGCCGGCAAGTTGCAGAAGACCTACATGAAGTGACCAGCTCCAAAGAGCCACAGACACTGAAGAGTCTCTGAAGAGACTCCCCTCCCCCACGATGCAGACAATGAACCACGAGGAAGCAGTCCGACTGAGCCAGGATGTATCACTGAGCTCCGGGGAAGCCAAATCTAACACAGCACCTGCAACACAGCTGCAAATTCCTGCACCGTGCTGTGAGCCCGATGCAAGCATAGCCGCCAACGCCCCTGGCTGGACTGGTGAGCACCAGTCACAAAGCTCGAACTGACTGACAAGGCGTCCATGAACACATCGAGAGAGAGAGAAGAGGAAGACAACATGGCACCGAACCTCGAAAAACCTGAAGAGGAAGCCGGTGACACAGCAACCGGCACAAGGAGACCGGGAGACGAACCGAGCGATCGCGAGAGCAGCGAGGGAGGCTGCCTTGAAGATACCAGAACAGCCCTTAAAGCAAAACCCTGCCCAGCAGAAAAACCAGAAGAGCAAACTTTAGGCTCCCGCACAGCTGCTCGAGCAACCGCTGAATGACCTTGGACCCTCTCAAAAACAGCCAACGGCAGGACTGCAGCCGGAGCAAGGCTGCAGAAGGGAAAGGAAGGGATGCAGTCTGAGAATCCCATACAAGGTTCAGCCAAGTCTGAACCTGGGACAAAACCAACTGGGATTTCTGCCAGTTCACCAGGAACTTGAACCCGGCAAGCTGGGAAAAAGCCAGATCCCTGGCTAGCAGACAAGCAGACCGGCTGAGAGCCCGAACCAATCATTCATCACAATACGCCAAGACCCGAAGATCTAGCAGATGAAGATTGTTTACCAGACCCGAGTCAAATTCATGAATATGTGTGGTGCCAGATTCAGCCCCATTGGGAAGACAACGAAAGCAGTAAGCACACTGCCCCACCACGAAACTTAATCAATCCCTGAACCCCGGATGGATAAGGACATGCCAATATGCATCCTTGAGCGTCAGCGAAATCATCCATGTGCTTGGCTCAAGGAGGAGACGGACCTGGGACTATAAAGTAATCTGAAAGGAGGGACAAGGAATCAATCGGTACAGATGAGACAAGTTCAAAATGTACGAAAGATCCACAAATTCCCGATTCGGAACTGGAAACAGGCGGGAAACCCACCGGAGAGACGAAGTTAGTAAACAGTTGATTGACAGTTGAGAGGCGGGCCGAAAAAGCAAAGCTCAACCCCCGCAAACACAACTAGATGAAGTATTTTTTACCACGCTCAAGCAAACCCACTCCGAGATGACCCGATGGATGGACAGGGAAGA